AACGAAATTCTTGCTTCTACGTCTCCTACGCTGATATTCTCATCGGCCAGCTGAGTCTGATTACCATATCCGTGTAAAATACAAACAAGAGAGTGAACAGAAAGCAGCCTTGGCGGGGACAAGGGCCAAAGCTGTAAGGTCCTAACTTAACGCCGTTTAATCTGATGGAGCATCTGCTCTCAACATGTGAGCAGACGGATTATCACAACTGTCCATCAATCACATACGTCTGCAGACATGCTCATAGTTTGTTGTGCGGAACTGGCCATCGCTTTCTCCAGATAAACAAAGCACATGTTAACACTACGAGCAAACTCTCACGATTTCTCATCAGTCAGAGAAGTTAGAGTCAGTCATTTGCCGACACCTCATTCCTGACTCTTTGGCATAAACTTTTCCCGAGAGGCTCAGTAAGATACTGTCCCCGTAATTTAAGCGCTCCTTATGACCTAACGTTTTAGCCACAACATAATTTGTTCTCCTGAAGCTTCAAATATTTCAGGGTGGCTTTCACCGATTTCAGCACCTTGCCACTTTCAAGCTCCTTTCTCATTCGATGACTCCACCTACTGAAAACGCATATGCGTTCCCTGCTGCTCTCGAGGCAAATCTTTCTGCGGTAGCTCGGGTTAATGAATTCCTCAAAGTACTCCGTACAGCACAGAAGTTTATTTTTATCCTCGGTGGGAGTTTCCGGAACTCTCTTTTTCCATTTTTTCATTATGATAAGTGCGAATGCTCTGCAAAAATACTTGGCTTCTGAAAATACAACTCCTGCTCCTTACCGAACATTTCCCAGGAATCAGCGTTTGCTTTGGCCACTGCTTTCGTTGCTGCCTAGAGCGCTTCTTCGTATTGCATTGAAGCTTAAAGTTCTTTACTTCGAAGCCATCCCTTGAATGCAGCTTTCCTCTCGGTGACAGCTAGTTGAACCTCACTTGTCTACCTGAAATTTCGTTTCTGACCTCTAAGTGACAGGCCAATCCGTTTCGAGCCGCAGTATTCGACCGCAGCTGCTCTTAAAGTGCTTCCATGCGGTTTACATTCATTCATTCATTTACGTTCATTTCTGTAACCTGCTGAAACTGTCTTGCGATCTTGTTAGCATGTTTTGTCCTCATATCCGCAGAAGATAGTGCTTCCCATTTGGTTTTCTACTCGCTTGTGCCACCAGGTCTTCGCATGGTACTCCATCGTTTACAGTGGAGGGTATCAACATGCAGGTGATAATCGATCGACACCTCGGCACCTCTTTTACCAGAGAGTTCATCGTTTTCACCACAACAACTTCATAGCGTTATTGCTGCTGTCGCTGAGGCTGTCGTCTGTAGTCATACCTTTCCAATTTTCAGTGTCTGTTCTGATACACCCTTTTAAATCTTGCTACATAATCATTGATTCCATACTCGACAAGTCGTACAGAACAATCGTTTCTACTCCCTCCAGAAAGAGCTCATATTCTTCATCCGAATCGGGTGCATAAACCTGTAATAAAGTCAAAGCTTTAACTCATTATTTTTTCAGCCGGATGGTTGCATCTGTTCTGATAGCAGCCTTCCACTAAATGAATCTGTCAGTAAGGTCTGGCGCCACCAAAACACCGACACAGTCCTTAGCGCGGTCGTGGAGTGGACACCTAAGTTGAACAGCTTCCATCCGCAGAAGTTCAGAATT